TCTCAGTCATCCAGGTATATAACAACAAAAAAGGTTGAATCATGTCAACCTTTTTTGTTGTTATATACCTGGATGACTGAGAAAACAAACTTTGTGTTTTTTGAAACCATTAGTGAAAAGGCCAGACCTCAGGGGTATCTGAGGCAGGCTTGAAACACAAGAGTCAGGGTGGCTTCTGGGTAATACCAGATGGCTAGGCCTCAGACTGACGAAGCCTCTTGGATGAGGGGCGAAACGTTTCTTTTTTAACAAAAAAAACGAAGTCCAGATGACATGATTCAACCTTTTTTGTTGTTATATACCTGGATGACTGAGAAAACAAACTTTGTGTTTTTTGAAACCATAAGGAGAAGAGCTGCACTGCAGGGCCACGCCTGTCTAATGTTGCCAAATATACGATAATTAATCGCATTTTAGTTTTGAGGTCGACAAACGAGTTTTGCGCTTGATTTGAAAAGTCCAAATGTACGATAGTGTTGGAATTCCTCCCCAGTTGAAAAATACACTATACCACTAAATGATAATGCCTGCATAGCGACAAAAAACACATACGGCTGTTTAAATAGAAATACGACAAACGCGACATTACGATAGTTCGTCATTTCTTGTATGGCAACTTCATCCTGTCTCGAAGAGCGTGGTGGGTGGAGGAGGAGGATTTTTTGTTTATTTTCATGGCCAGCTAGCCATTCAGAGCATTGCTGTTACCTAACACTGCATTAATCGTCTTTATCTACTCGGTAAGTGTCGAGAAAATGAAACAATCTTGACAGTTGCATATGTTATTTTAATATTTCACGAATAAAATGATTTGGAGCTGAAAGGAAAGAAGGTTCCGTGAAGAAGTTGACGAACGTCTGTTAGCCAGTTTGTGCTAACAAGCTAAATACACAAGCTAGTTCACGCCAGATAGGGATCGGCGTTTAGGCAAAAAAGAGCAATTTTTACAACATTTCTTATCATTAGCCCGACTATAATGCACAACGAGTTACTGTAAGTGCACTAGTATGTTTAAATTCCAGTTTACATGTTGGTTTACGTCTGATAAAAATGTAATTTTGTAGCCTAGCTATCAGCTAACTGGTAGCAGCTGAGCTAACCCTCTTGTTCTTCAGCGCTTTTTCCCCCCCACTAGTGTTGAACTTGTAGAGCAAATCAGAAACTCGTGTATTTCAATGAACGAAACCCCTCCCAAGCTTTATTGTATTTTACGTTAGAATTAGGGAATTATAACCTTAGCAAAGTTGACATTAAAATGTTCCAAATGTTGATATTTTTTTGTTTTTATCATTACTGCCCTGCATGAGTTCTCTATATTCAGCTACAAGTTTCCTACAAAAGGTTCACAGACTGTGAATATACCTACCTGAAATATCTTAAGAATCATGCAGCGCTATCACTTATTTCCAAACAAAAATACAAAATAAATAAATGCATAATATGACACTTAAGCTGGGCTTTTGAAGTTAGCTTTAGAGTTCAAAACCAAAGAAAACAAAGTTTGACTGTGTTGTACCTTTTTTTTAAATATTTTTTTTGTCAACTTACAAGTTGTACTATGTTGACTTTCTAAGGTTTCTATCTTTATATTTAAACTACACTATCTTTTTCAATACAGTATTACAACTTGGCAATAAGATTTGTTCCTCCAAAGTTTCTACATTTTCAGCTTTAGTTGTAATGACACACCATAACATACTTGTTTGATGCTTTTGAAATATTGGCACCTAAACACCATTTACCTTATCACTTGTGATAGGCACATTAAAAATTAAGTAGAATTATTCTGACAAGAAATACTTGGGGGGGGAAAAAGATGCTTTGTCAAATTAGGTAAAAAAAAAAAAAGTTAATATGTAGGATAAGGTTATATTTGCAAATGTCTACCAAATAAAGGGCTATAGTGAGTAGTAGAGAGCTCCCTGGTACTTAAAAAAACCTTGATCTGAACTTGGATTGTTTAAGTTAATTGTATGAATGCTTTTATGCAAACTGATATGGAATGACCCTGATTTTTTTTTTTGTAATTAGTCCTGTCTTTTTCATTTTAGGTTGCTGAGTGTGGGCTACTTTGAATAAACTAAATTTGCCTTGACACTCCTACTGAAAGCAAAGAGGATACATCTGGAAACTCTACCAAATACTGACATTTGTAAAGCAGGATGTCAATCACAAACACTCCCACGAGCAACGATGCTTGCCTGAGCATCGTGCACAGCCTCATGTGCCACCGACAGGGAGGGGAGAGTGAAAGCTTTGCTAAGCGGGCCATTGAGAGTCTCGTCAAAAAGCTGAAGGAGAAGAAAGATGAGCTGGATTCCCTCATTACAGCCATCACCACAAACGGAGCCCATCCTAGCAAGTGTGTAACCATTCAACGAACTTTGGATGGACGCCTGCAGGTACCAAGTTTGTTTCACTCCACACCTAATGTGAGAAATAATTTTAAGAGGTTTGCGTTTCATTAGTTTTTTTTTGTTTTTGTTTTAGGTTGCAGGGCGTAAAGGTTTCCCCCATGTTGTTTATGCCAGACTGTGGCGATGGCCAGATCTACACAAGAACGAGCTAAAACATGTGAAATACTGTCAATATGCCTTTGACCTGAAATGTGACAGTGTTTGTGTCAACCCATACCACTACGAAAGGGTTGTTTCTCCAGGAATTGGTAAGAATGAATCCCAGGCTTAGTAGACAAGATCTAAACCTGAACAGTTTTGCTCACTAATGAATAAAACAGAAATATTGAAGACACTTATAGATTTGATCTTTTTATTTTTTGTTTGCTTGCAGGCATTTTTTTAATAAGACAAAAAAAAAAACATACCAACGTAAACTTAATTAAGTGAAGCTCATTCATATTTTTTTGCAAATGTGTTTACAGACTTATCAACACTGACCCTTTCAAATTCAGGTACAAAGCTTTTTTTTTTCTTGACAAAAGTTTTGTGGACATTCATCAGTCTTAATTATGTCTGTCGTTTCCTGCTAGGTCCGCTTATTGTAAAAGACGAGTTCGACTTTGATAACCAGCAGTCTCACTCCAGCTCTGAAAACCACCTGCAGACCATCCAGCATCCTCCGTCGAGGCCGATTCCACAGGAGCAGTTCACTAGCCCCCCTCTACTCCCCCCGTCAGAGGGCAGCAGCTCAGCTTCATCTTCTGCTTTCTCAGCCATTAGTGCTGGACCTTCAAGTGAGATACAAACATAATGTCAAATTGTCATTAACAAATTAAAGAAGATGCGGTCAGTTAAGGATAAGGTGTGTTTTGAATGTGCGCTCACAGATCCAACCCCGAACTGGAGCAGAAACAGCAGCTTCCCCCCAGCGGTGCCTCAACACCAGAATGGACATCTACAGCATCATCCTCCAATGCCTCCCACAGGCCATTACTGTGAGTGGATGGAAATATGAATAATGCTCTGCAAAACCTTAAATTTCCATTTCAACTTTGTGTTTTTGTTGCACTTCACAAACACAAATGGGTTTCAATGTGTTTGTAACGTGTTTTAAATGGCAAACACAATGCTTTTAAAGAGTAAGAATTGGAAAAGAATAATCAAATAATTTAAATAATACCAACATTTATTAAATTAATGCACAAATAAAAGTTAAATATAGACATAAGGGTCAAAAGAAGAACGACAAGAGCAAAAAGCACATTAAAATAGTGCAAAAAAAGTTTGTGGATTCAGAACTTACCGTTTGAAAAGTTTTAATCCTTGGAAAACCTTTGACAAATACTTTTGTGAACATCTGTGTAATTCATCTGCCTGTGTCTTTCCTCAAGTTAAAAACCATTGAAGAAAACTGGATGAGTGTCTAGTTGGCCACAGAGTAACTTGAGTAACTTTTGGCTGTTAGACATTTGTAGTTAAGGAAGACTTAAAGTTGTGTGGCTGACTGCAACAAAGAAACTTCCACACAGGCTCACCCCTAAAATAAAAAGTTCAATAACTTTTAGATCTTACTTTAGCTGCCTAATGAATCTGTATTAATGCCTGGTAAAATAATCAGTTTAAAAATATAATGGGAAGATTCAGATTTGTTTCAAATGATTACTGAACTGCTCTTTTCAGGGCCCGTTACCAATGAAATTGCATTCCAGCCCCCCATATCCAATCACCCTGGTGAGTATTTAGCTTGATGCATGCCTCCATTTATAACAAATACAGCACAATGACATTTGTTTGTATGTCCCAGCTCCAGAGTACTGGTGCTCCATTGCATACTTTGAGATGGACGTCCAGGTCGGGGAGACATTTAAGGTGCCATCCACATGTCCGGTAGTCACAGTGGATGGTTATGTGGATCCTTCAGGGGGAGATCGTTTCTGCTTGGGCCAGCTGAGTAACGTCCACAGGACAGAGAACATAGAAAGAGCCAGGTATTCTGCCATGTTCTTGGAAATATGTTTTGCATATTTGATAGAAAATGTAGGTAAGATAAAGTAAGGGTGCGTCCAAGGGGTAGACATAAATACAATTTTTAGGTTGTCCAGTAGACAATTAACCTCTTGACAGAATCTGGTTGTCCATCAATGTTTTTAGTTGTCCACAATCTTTATAATAAAGAAAGAAATTTCAAGAAAATTGTAACTTAATAAGTACATTACAGTATATACTACATTTACTATATACAAATGTTCTCAGTCAGCCATCTTGTGGATTACTTGGAATGTCTGAGCTGCAGAATGGCAGACTCAAGAGCTGCTCGAGTGGAGCTTCTTCATTCTCATGCTCTTCCTTGTTATCAGACTTTGCAAGAGAGGCACTAACAGCAAATTTGGGGTGGGGGTTGTAGTACTGTACTGTGGTATGTTACAATAGTAATGCTAGGTCTGAGCTGCTATGATCTCTCCTCCCATCCGGAAGGAGTCGAGCTATCTGGTTGGTGGGGTGCCCTCCTTGGATAATGGTAGAAGAAAAAACTGCTGTACATGACCTTAGTAAAAGTACACAGTAAAGTGTTCTCTAATGAGTAAGAAGACTTTAACCTGCACCGTCAGGACCAATGGTTCCTGAAGGAAGAGAGGGGTTTTAACAAGGGTGGCAGGGGTGTCCTTCTTGGAAGATAGTCCAGGAGACCGATTGTTGCTCTCACCTGCCGTGTATCAGACAACACTACCTGCCCTGCTCTGATTGGGTCAAACTGTGGCTCGGGTTCTTTTTATTATCATTAGATTAGATGGCTTTAAAAGATCACAAAACACAAAACACATTTTCATTTTTACAGATGACAGAAATTTGTTGTGGTGATGGAGAACTTTAATCCATGTCTCTTTCACTTGGTTGTCCACCGGACAACCTTGAGGCGAGATCTGGTTGTCCAAAACGTAAATAGATCGTCTCGGACAACCAGAAACTGCTTATGTCAATCCCTGTAATATATTTAATGTTGCTTTTTTTTTTTTTACTTTGCTTATAGATCTTTCCTATTTTGCATGTTTTTAGGCTCCACATTGGCAAAGGCGTGCAGCTAGAATGCAAAGGTGAAGGAGACGTGTGGGTGCGTTGTCTGAGTGACCACGCAGTGTTTGTGCAGAGCTATTATCTGGACCGAGAGGCAGGGCGTGCACCAGGAGATGCAGTTCATAAGATCTACCCCAGTGCTTACATCAAGGTGAGATGACATCATGATGCTCTTACTTTAAAAAGCTAGTTTTACCAGATTCTTGTAAACATTGTTTTTTTTGCAGGTTTTGTTTAACATGAACATTATTTTAAGAGGCTAATGTAAATCTGGTGTGGCAACAGTAAGACAATATTCGTACATTAAAGAAGTTATTTTTAGAGTTGGATCGTCAGGTTTTGTTCTTTTTTTTTTTTTTTATTCTTGAGGAAAACAAACTTTGGCCACAAATGTTTCAACTCTGAACTGGCTATGTTCTTGCTCACGTTGACACAGAATCGTATGGTGTTCTTTGTCAGAGATTGAGCAGTTTTCTTGTTCCTCGACAGGTGTTTGACCTGCGTCAGTGCCACAGGCAGATGCAGCAGCAGGCTGCGACGGCTCAAGCAGCAGCTGCAGCGCAGGCAGCCGCCGTGGCTGGGAACATTCCAGGGCCCGGCTCCGTGGGAGGCATCGCCCCCGCCATCAGTGAGTGCTCTTACGGCAGCACTTGGCCCTGAGCAAGTGTATTACTATGATTGCTTCTCATTATCAAACTCTGCAGGGGGTTGAGTCTAGAATAATAAAGAATGTTTTTCATGGCACCGTATTGGAAAGCATTGTGACAAAGAGAATTTTCGAGCAGCATGAGCAGGTATGAAAAACTGGCAGCTTCAATCATGACAGAACAGCGAGGCAAACTCCTGGTGCTGGTCATAAAATTAGAATATCTTGAAAAAGTTGATTTATTTCAGTAATTCCATTCAAAAAGTGAAACTTGTATATTATATTAATTCATTACACACAGACTGATATATTTCAAATGTTTATTTCTTGTAATGTTGATGATTATAACTGACAACTAATGAAAACCCCAAATTCAGTATCTCAAAAAAAAATTATAACATTACTTAAGACCAATTTTAAAAAATGATTTTTAGAAATGTTGGCCAACTGAAAAGTATGAGCATGTGCAGAACTCAATACTTGGTTGTTGCTCCTTTTGTCTGGATTACTGCAGCAATGCGATCTGTCATGGAGTTGATCAGTCTGTGGCGCTGTTCAGGTGTTATGAGCCCAGGTTGATCTGAAAGTGGCCTTCAGCTCTTCTGAATTGTTGGGTCTGGTGTATCACATCTTCCTCTTCACAATACCCCTTTGATTTTCTATGGGGTTACGGTCAGGCGAGTTTCCTGGCCGATTAAGAACAGAGATACAGGGAAACCAGGTACTGGTAGCTTTGGCACTGTGTGCAGGTGCCAAGTCCTGTTGGAGAATGAAATCTGCATCTCCATAAAGTTGTTCAGCAGCAGGAAGCATGAAGTGCTCTAAAACGTTCTGGTAGATGGCTGTGTTGACCTTTGACCTCAGAAAACACAGTGGACCAACACCAGTGGATGACATGGCACTACAAACCATCACTGACTGTGGAAACTTGACCTCAAGCAACATGGATTCTGTGCCTCTCCTCTCTTCCTCCAGACTCTGGGACCTTGATTTCCATAGGAAATGCAAAATTTACTTTCATCAGTCAACATAACTTTGGACCACTCAGCAACAGTCCAGTTGTTTTAGTCTTTAGCCCAGGCGAGATGCTTCTGACACAGTCTCTTGTTCAAGAGTGGCTTGACACAGGGAATGCGACAGCTGAACCCCATGTCTTGCATACGTCTGTGCGTGGTGGTTCTTGAAGCACTGACTCCAGCTGCAGTCCACTCTTTGTTAATCTCCCCCACATTTTGGAATGGGTTTTGTTTCACAATCCTCTCCAGGGTGTGGTTACCCCTATTGCTTGTACACTTTTTTTCTACCACATCTTTTCCTTCCCTTCACCTCTATTAATGTGCTTGAACACAGAGCTCTGTGAACAGCCAGACTCTTCAGCATTGACCTTTTGTGTCTTGCCCTCCTTGTGCGAGGTGTCAATGGTCATATTTTGAAAAACTGTCAAGTCAGCAGGCTTCCCCATGATTGTGTAGCCTACAGAACTAGACTGAGAGACCATTTAAAGGTCTTTGCAGGTGTTTTGAGTTAATTAGCTGATTAGACCGTGGCACCAGGTGTCTTAATATTGAACCTTTTCACAATATTCTAATTTTCTGAGATATTGGAATTTGGGGTTTTCATTAGGGGCAGCACTGTGGCACAACTGGTAGAGCTGCTGCCTCTCAGCGAGCAGGTCCTTGGTTCAAACCCCGGTCCAGGGGCCTTTCTGGGTGGAGTTTGCATGTTCTCTCCGTGCATGCGTGGGTTTTCTCCGTGTACTCCCGTTTCCTCCCACAGTCCAAAAACATGCATGTTAGGCTGATTGGTAACTCTAAATTGTCCCTAGGTGTGAGTGAGAGAGTGAATGGTTGTTTGTCTCGTTTGTCTCTATGTGTCCCTGTGATGGACTTCCGACCCGTCCAGGGTGTACCCCGCCCCTCGCACAGTGATTGCTGGACATGGGCACCAGCGACCCCCATGACCCAAAATGGAATAAGCGGGTAAAGATAATGGATGGATGGATGGATGGGTTTTCATTAGTTGTTGGTTATAATCATCAACATAAAAAAGTTTGAAATATATCAGTCTGTGTGTAATGAATGACTATAATAAACAAGTTTCACTTTTTGAATGGAATTACTGAAATAAATCAACTTTGAGCCTTGTATTGAGAAGGGGTGGGCGAAGTTACGCTGAGAACAAAATGATGCAATTTTTTTCACACAACTACATTAACGAGAGCTGATTTAGCCACTTTGGATGGAGTATGCAGGGCCCTTCAGATTCATTGGTAACTTAAATTGTTACTGGTGCAAGTGTTGAGTTGTATTTTTTTCTGGTATTGTGTAATTTGTTTGATAACAGAAACTAATCAGACTAACATTTTACATTATGTTCAATGAGATTGAGTTGACCCACAGTAATATGTATTGGCTGAGCCTAATAAGAGCTACATTGTCAGTAGTTTTCATTCTGCCTACCTGTTCCAGCTGCACATGCAATGTAATTTGTTTTCCCAGCTTCTGCCGGGCCTGTGGCGTCTCATTGATTTAAAAGCTTCTGCCTGTAAATTCTCCTACAGGTTTGTCTGCTGCTGCAGGCATCGGCGTTGATGACCTGCGCAGGCTGTGCATTCTGCGCATGAGCTTCGTAAAGGGCTGGGGGCCAGACTACCCGCGACAGAGCATTAAAGAGACGCCCTGCTGGATCGAGATCCATTTGCACCGAGCCCTGCAACTACTGGATGAAGTTCTGCACACCATGCCCATAGCTGACCCTCAACCTCTTGACTGAGTTAAAATCCAATGAACTGTACCAAAAACAAAAAAAGGTAACTACTTTGAACAGACCCCTTCACCTGTAGGCCCGAAGTGCCAGAGGAGGACTGTAATTAAATGATGCTGTACAGGTTGTAGTTGTAAAGAGGACCTAAAGACTGGCAGTGTACTCCATTTGTTTTAACCACTTGTTGATTGAAGACTGAGCTAAACTCCAGATTTGTTTAAAAAAACAAAAAAAACAAGATGAGCAATCATGTCACACTGGGGGGAGTTGCAGTACTCTAGAAATGTTTGACCAAGATGATGAAAATGAAACAGGAAGTTTTTAACTTATTGAAATTAATAAAAACATGGAGTGGCTGGAACTGCAGTTTAAAAGGCAATAAAAGTTCAACCAGACTTGATGGTGTGAGATGTTTAAAAAGTCAAACCATTTAGCTTCTTGCCAGTATGAGCATTTTTTCTGTTCACAATTTCAAAATGTACAAAGTGTCCCAAAGTTACTTTTAAAAACTGATAAAAGTACATTTTGTAACTTAAGTGCCCCCGATTGTGTCCACATCCTAAATGTACTTTTAGCTGGAGTGCACTGCCAGTCTGCTCCTCCTTTTGTGGCTTTTTTACCCAAAAGACTTCCTGTAATAGAGGTTATTTCCCCCTCACAGATAAAGTATGTTACTCATGTTCTTGTCAGATGTAATCTTAAAAAGTTTTTAATGCCAAGTCTTTTTTTATTTTAATAGTTTTAACACAAAAACTCATGGAGCTCAATGTTTCTTTAACATGAGTCCCATTTTTTTATTTATATTTTTTAATCACCAGTAAAAGCCGTTACATGAAATGTTCAACTTCAGATTTTAGGTTTTGAAAAACACACATTTTCAGTTTTGGTTAGCTGTCCATTAGCACTTTATATTTTTGTTTGTGGTTACTTGGTTGTATCCATATAATCCTTTTAGTCTAAAGATTTTTAATTTTTTTGTTAGTGAACTTTTGAATCATGACATCGTGGCTCATTGAACCCAAACATTCCCGAGCCTTTGATACTCAAAATGTTTTGGGTGGTGCATCGATGTTAAATAAGTAATCACCGCTTGTTTTAATTTCTGGGGAAAATAAAAACAATTGGATGCTAAACTAATCAAATAAACGGCTGAGTAAATAAGGAGCGAACTGTGAGGAAGTGTAAGCCATATTGACAATTGCCAAAAAAATACTTCACGAAAATGTTAAAGATGTTTGGACTGCAGCTGTTTCAGTATTACTTTGCTTAATTTGTAGTTATCAGATCTGTTGATAAAAACATTTAGCAACAAGTCAATCAACAATTGTGTCATATTTTATGTTATTTACTGTTGCTACAGTTCTCATTTGAAAAGAAAAATGTACTGTCCAATTTTCAGCAAATACTTGTAAGCTTATCTTTATCTTTACAATTATGTATCACAAATTAATTTGAATGATATTGGTGTTTATATGTATGAATAAAACTGAGAAGTCATTTGTTTAGTGTGGAAGTCGAACTGACGAGAGCGGACACCGACTCTGAACAAGAAAACGTTTATTACTGCAAAGACGAGTCACAAATTTTAAGAAAACACTAAGAAGCTAGCCTGAGCTCAGATCTGAAATATTCAGAAAACAAAACTACATGTGTCTTTTTAATAGTTCCTCTAATCATCAGTACGACACACTAAATAATTTCTCTGTAAATATAAAAGCCCCCCAATCGTCCTTGTTTTTCCTGTAAAATGCACAATACAAATCACCCTACACACACGGGGTTTCTTGCCAATTTGAGAATATACATTGTAAACGTAAACACACAAAAAGAAAGTCACATGAAACTTGTGTGTATATATTATCAGATACTATACATTATCCAAAAAAGAGGAAAATAAAGGAATTCACAAAAGCACTTAAGCCAATAAATCAGATAAGTTCACTAAAAGAACAAATCATAAGTAGGACACAAATAAATATACCTTTTCAGTTCTGATATACACATTTTTCGTCAAAGATGAATTAAAAGAAAAAAAAAAAAAACCTCAAACGTCACCACCTAATGCGCTGGCATCAAGCAGAGTGCTACAGATGGCCACGACTCACTACACTGTCAAATGGCACTTAACAAATCCCAAACAGGTCCCAGCATTTAGAAAATATCAATCGACAAAAAGAAAGCACAACCATGAGAAAACGACTTGGAGAATTTTACAAACAGTAACTCTCCTGGTGCATTTACTTTTATACATTTTAAAGTTGCAGGTATTCACCCGTGATGTGGATGTTATCGTCCAGAAGCTAATCAATAGTTCAGTCCGAATACTTCCTCTTTTCATTGGCAGCATCTGTGCAACTAAACATCTGCTTTATAGACTGTGTAGCCCACCAGAGACCCAATAGTCACCCAGGCCGTCTGCTGCAGTCGGGGTGAAATTAAAGGCACCGGAGTTTGCTGTGGTTCAGTGAAGCTGCCATGTCATCCATGTAAAGAGGCGATTCTAGCTTATATCTGTGAGTTTTTATGGTTGGACATGGATTCTTTTGCAAACAGCAGTTATGGAAACATGTCAAATCTTAATTACCAAAAGACATAAATTAAATACAGTAGTGTTGGCAGCCATTACCATCAGTCCAGAGTTACCCAGGCAGACTTGGAGATACAGAAACTTTCTACGCTGTCTTGTGGGAAATGAACCGAACGGGGGCGGAAAAGCGCTAAATTGTTAAAAAATCAGTTTCTAGTGACACATGGCAGCTGTGCAAGACCAGAAAGCACTTACAATTAAAAGAAAAAGCACACAGTTGTGCACATTTTCAGCCATTTTCACTTCAGGCACAACATAATACAAGTTACCATCTATCTTGTAATGAAGATCAATGGAGGCTGACATGAAGTTAAATAAAATACAGTAAAGGGGGAAAAAAAAAAACAAGTGCCCAATAAAAACTTCAGATTATTTTTTTAAATTTTCATCTTATTTTGTACACTATATTGACCATCTAATTTTTTGCAGTTTATGATCTGGTTAAAGTATGACAATGTTCTTTTATTCACTGAAACATATAGAAATCATAACTTGACAGTTTATGCTAAGAACATGTTTCCAATCTCAAGTTTATAAAAGGGCACAAGGCAGAACACCTTCCACTTGCAGCAACGTACAGTGGAGTTTTATGTGAAAAGGTTATTCAAAATCATAACTGGAAAAGGCGAACGTGGGAGCAGTCGCTGCCTAGATCTGGTCAAACATTTCAAGTCAGCATGATGGGAGTAAAGGGTAAAGTATGAGAGTGTACCGCAGGTTAAACCAGTTAAATTCAACCAAAAAAAAAAACAACTAACATCAGAGCCTAAATGACAACGTATTTGCACTTTCCCACCTTATTTACCATTACAAGCTAGGCTCCGCACAAAAAGTGATCACAGCAAACGCAGTACCCCTCCTTTTTTAACCTTAACCAATGTAGATTAAAAAAACAAAAAACTTCTTTCTGTACAGTAGATCTTCCGTTTGAATCGGTTCATGATTTCTCCTCGGAGCCCATTAAAACGTACGCAACAGCACTTAAAACAAAAACACAATAAATATCAATAAATAAACATTTCCTTTGTGACGAAACAATACAGACCGTTTTAAATGAGCATTCAAAAAACAACAATTTTAGCAACTAAAAAAAAAAAAGTTCCTATTTTTAGAGGATTAATCTCAGTATTCCCCACAACATTGAAGGCTAGAACAGTTCAAGTATAAGTTGCAATCTAAGAAACCAGAAGTTAGTCCCAAACTCTTACACTTCACAGTCTATGAACTACTTACAGATGAAGGAAACATTCATGTCTTAATCAGATCACACACATAAAAAGCAACAAATGTGTTATGTGTCAGCATTTTATATACTATACATATATCTATATATCTATATATCTCTTTCAATATTAGAAAATATCTACTTTTGGTCCACTGTACAAAGATGATCTTCAAACAGGGAACAAAGGAGTGTTTTATGGATTTTCAAACTAAAAGTATCAGAGGTGAGAGAAAAGCAATGCTAATTTTTCTCCATTGTGTTGAAATTTGTGCAGTACAGTGGTGTGTGTGTTTGTGTGTATGTGTGTGCAATAAGGTTTGGTGACTGTGCTGCACGCGTCAAAGGGCTGGCACCACTGGTTTGAGGTAGGGTGGACTGATGGATGTGTCCCAACACACACACAAGCACGCAGATACAGGCACATAAACACATGGGAGCACAGAGCTAACGCATCCAAACATGCAGACTCGAGCACACGTCATCCTGTGACAATGCAAGAATAGGCCTCGAGAAAAGGAGTGAGGGCAGGAGCAAGGCTAAAGACTCGGACACGTTTTAATAAAAAAAGCTGATCCAGAGGAGAAACAGCAGGCGCGCCTGCACTGATGAGCCAGCCCAAATCCAGCCACAAGTCACCAGAAAGCCAAATCTGCGGCTGGGACGATGCAGAGGAGCTGCGGCGCTCCCTGCAGCACACAGGTCGGGACTACGCGGACAGCTGCATTTAAGGATAAGGCACTATGATAAAGCCGAGGTACAAGAGATCCCTGACATTCTTTCTGCTTTGCAACATGGCACTGCGGGACAGGAAACATTTTTTTTTTTTTAAGTTTTATTTTTTTGGTGGCTCAAATGGCTCACTCTTCGCTTCCGCTTAAGTTTATTTTTGGTCCACTGCAAACTTAAGAAACTTGATTGAAGACAAAAATAAAATAAAAAAACGCAAAACCAGGAACTCAAAGTTAACCTCACTAAACAGCATCTAAGCATTATGCACAGGGTGCATAGAAAGCTTTTATTTTATTTTTTAAATTTAATCTGTATAAACAAGCAGCAGTACAGACATTTTTTTTAAAGTTTTGTTTTAGATGTTAAGCAGTTATATGACTAACAAAACTATCAGAGAATTGCCTCATGATCCTTATATAAATATACATAAAACTAAAAGTTGTCCCTTTTGTTTTCTAGCTACAAACATAAAACTTCTTGTTCAATTAGAAGATCAGCTGCTGAAATGCATGTTCACAGAAATTATACTTCAAAATCAAGGTAGATAACTAAAATAAAACAGTCATAGCACCATGAAATTTGACTAATACCAACGGAAATGTTACCAAAAAAAAAAAAAAGTACAGTAGGTGAAGATTCGAGTCAGTCAATGCATTTGCTCTCCTGGGACTAGTGACGTGGATTTGAGCTCTGAGACATCAGTAGTTTAATGGAATAAAGCCCATCTGTGTTCACAGACAGAGAGGAGGAAACATTTACAGTCTCAAATTAGTCCTTTTCCTCCAGGTCCCTTCCACCAGCTGCCACACCGTGTTAGCGCACAGACTCACAAGATGACTACACATCCAGAATTCAAACAAGTCGGACAAAGGACAGAGTGTCACTCCAACTGACCGGAGCCGGATGTGGAGTGCAAACAGAGACGACGCATGAACACGAAGCAGACATTTACACTTTAAGAACGAGGGAAATGTGGAGTAAGACGGCTAAACGAGGTGAGCTGTGGCCATGGGAGCCTCAAACGGAGGCGTACGTGTTGCCTGTGGTGCTGCAGTGTCGGATGGTGGGAGTCCCAGCAGAGGGGGTTAGGATGTGCTCAGTGTGGTCCTGGGGAGGCTGTGGCAGTGAGTGGAGTACGCTTGGCTGGACAACACCCACCACAGGGTGGGTCCCGTCATCTAGAGCCCCGACCTGGATCACCTGGATTACCTCACGCTCTGATTTCTCCCTCTTGGGGAGTGGTTCCCCGGACTCCTCCGTGTCCTCTTCCAAGTCGCTGTCCATCCCACTCGTTTCATCTGAACAGAAGCACGTTGAAAATTCAACAGATGTACGCAGCACCGTTCCAACAACGGAACTTTTTCTGAGTTTACTCTCAAATGACGCTCAAACAAGGTTCTACATTTCAGTGACACGTAGCACGACCAGCTGAATAAACTATACGTTTGTTAAATGTTTGTATAATTTGGTGTTTCATTAGAAAAACTGGGAGAAGTAAATAAAGTTGTGTTCTGATTTGCATCAATCATCACCTTTCTAACCCCGCCCCCTGCTTATTACACTTAAATTAATTAGCTTTATTTACTCTATCTGGAAAATTCTAAAGCACCATTTAAATACTGCTTATTTTTCTGCCCAGATGTGTCAACAATTTAAATGCTAACACATCTCAGAATTCATCTTTTAGTTTGGCTTTAATATTATTCTATTTATCCATTTATTCGTTTACATAAGCATTTTTGTCTTTGTTCCAACCTGATGTGTTCTTTTAACTGATAATCTAGATTAAAATGTCATGTGCTCTCATTGTGTTCACTTCTCACATTTCTACTTTTATTTTGCCATTACTATTCTGTTTTCTAGCTTCCAGTGATGGAGAAAGGGGGAGGGGGGTGGGTCGCAGATGGAGGTTTTTGCGGTACAGTAGTCCCTCGCAACGTCGCAGTTCGTTTTTCGAGGACTAGCTCTATCGCTAGTCTATCTATATTTTTGTCTTTAACGTTTTTGAATTTAGCTCCATTGCGGTTTTTCAAAATAAGATTTGACATGACACACAATTGGCTG